CTTCTCCCGTATCGATTTAAGCTGCAACTTCTTCAAGTCCACACCATCTATAAGTACTTGACCAGCTTCTGGATCATAAAACCTTTCTACTAGGCCGATTACTGTTGACTTCCCACTTCCACTCTGCCCAACCAAAGCAGTGGTTGTTCCACTTGGAACATGCAATGTGAACCCAGCAAAGATCTGCACATCTGGCCTGGCAGGGTACCTGAAATCCACGTCTTTGAGTTCAACCTCACCTTTAATATCTTCCAATACAATTCCACTAGTATCATAGGGATCGATCTTCGGAGTACGTTTGATGGTCTCGAGCATTTTATATGCAGCAGCTTTCCCTGATGCAAATGCATTCAAAGATGGTGGTGTCTGACCCAGAGATCTATGCCAACAAGCAGAACCAAACGTGTCAGATTGCTTAATCTCATATATACTCTAAACAATGTACATTATAATGCTATTGTATTGTTGAATCAGGGCAGATGGTATACTTACAATCCACCAGTCATGATTGCAAATATAACATTGATGACTTGGCCTCCATTGTATCCATTTTTTATGATCATTTTGGATCCATACCATACGGCAAGCCCATAAGTGCAAAAGATAATAAGCATTAATGTACCAAGTCCAATTCCTGTGGCTAACCCTTGTTGAACCATGGTATTGTAGGCAATTTTTATCTTCTTGTTGTATTTGTCTATTGCTCTCTTCTCCCCGGTGAAAGATGCAACCTTGCATAGTTTTTTTTGTATATCAAAGATTAATCAAGACATGCATAATGCAGTTAAATTATTTACTCTGGTGAGTTAAAAGAGACTTAACATCAAGGCCTTACTGTTCTAATGGATCCAACTGTTTGTTCTACTATATTGCCAGCTTCTGCATATGCACGCTGTCCGCGGGTTGACATTTTCGAAATGATCATTGACATAGCTCCACCCGCAAGGACAATTGCAGGGATGCAGGCCAGCAAGACAAGGGTGAGCTGCCACCCTTTGATAAGAGCAATCGCAAAGCCACCAATAAAAGTTGAAAGAAGTTGTATGAACTTCCCCACCTGCCACAAATAAACAAATTATTAAGAAAACCTGCTGGATGTTCAGACATGAAATCAAGACTTTAAGTGAAGTAGCACCTTTTCCCCCATTGCATCTTGAATGAGAATGGTGTCCCCTGACATCCTCCCAATGATCTCTCCAGTGTTAGCTTCAGTGTCAAAGAAGGCAATGTCCTGCCTTAGTATTGTTTTCAAGTACAAGCCTCGAATTCGAGTGGCTTGTCTTTCTCCTGTCACCATCCAACATGCAACCTCTGCAATATTTCATCGCAAAATGGTAAAATTTAATGAATCCAAACAACTGCATACATTGAATTAATTAAAGATAATTCACACACTTACGTGTAAATGCTGCGATGCCAGTGCCAATAGCCAAATACACAAACTTTAGTGACACCTGAAAAAAAAAAAACAAGATACAAGGAGGACAAATTTCAAAATTGGGATGTAGTGTTTGCATGATAAAGGAAGCTCATGAGTTGTGTTTTGTTTGACACGTATATATGGTGTTTTCAATAGCTTCCATCAACAACAACAACTCGCAAAATGAAATGAATATCAAATTAGGTAATGTATTCAGATTTTGTATATGGTCGCCATTCTTTTTGGCTTCATATGATTAAGACTCACCGCAAAACCATAACAACAACAATTAATGCTAGAATAAGAAAAAGATCAGCAAACAACCCAAAAAAGAAAAAGGAAAAAACCAATAAGAATCTTGATTTTCTTTTATATACGCAAAGAAATATTGCTCTTGTTCTTGTTCTTGTTCTTGGGTCGATACAAAAAAAATATATAATATATGAATAATGCATGTACCTTAGAAACCGTGGGGACGATATCGGCAGGAGCTGTGGCACCAAAGGTGTTGATGAGACTGCCAAAGACAAGGGTCATGAGAGGCTGTGAGAGTCCATTGGCTACGGCAGATATCGACCCAACTATCATCAAAACAACGTCCAATCGATCTGCAAACATGAAGAGCTTATAGAAGGCAACTTTTTGGTTGTCTTGATCTCCTTTCCCTTTCCCATCAACCTCTCCTCCTCTTCCTCCTCCTGCTTCCATGGCCAGGCTCTCTTCTTTCTCTCTCTCTCTCTCTCTCTCTCTCTCTCTCTCTCTCTCTCTCTCTGTGATTTGTTGTTATCTAATGAGGAGATATGTGAGCGGTACGTGGTTTTTTTGTGGAAGTAAGAGGGAGGAGGAGGAGAGGTGGAGTTGCACGAGGACAAGTGGTTTATGGACTTCTAATGACGTATATCAGAGTCCTACTAATTAGCGGCTACGTTCAAGGACTTTATATGCCTTTTTTTTTTTCCTTCAACTTTCCCTTTTTTCTTTCCTCAATTTAAATTTGAGTTTAATAAATAAAATAAAAACAGTTGAGATTAAACAGCACTTGATTAGGAAAATCCAACTATTGATGTGACAAAAAGCTAAAAACCAAGTACCAGATTTTGTTGAAATGAGCTTAGGTGGTTGAGAGACAAGGGAAAGAGTGAAGAAACAACAAGAGAGAGAAACTCAGCCACAAAGCCATATACACTTGTCAGAATTAATTAAAACTATAGTAAGTGTTTATGGCTATTTAGTCTAATGACATTTAGTTTTCATTTCGTTGAAAAGATTCTCGAGTTCATATTTTAAGAAGATTAATGTTATTTATTTATCGTTTTCGTTCTCTTTCAGAGTTCAAATCTCATAAACAACGACATTATGTAACTAATAAAAATATTGTATATGTCATCATTTACATAATTTACTTACAAAAGTTTAGAAGAAAGATTTTTGTTGTCGAACATTATTGACACACACTCGGCTCTCCAAAGAGTTTGTAGTTGGTCCACGAGCCCCACAAACTCTGCATGAGCCCCCCACCCCCCAAACCGAATAATAATTAGCTGCTTCTAGATCATAAAGTAGCCTTTGGTACATTTCGTTTTTCTTCGGTGTCGGCCAAACTTCGCACCAGAATTGAAAGCGAAATATTAGAAGAAAAAAAAAGTTATTAATTGCCACTTAAAAATGATATTGTAAAACTAAAAATCGATGTAGAGTTTAATTCAACTACAACTTCGTTAATAAGAGAAATAAAATAAATAAATAAATAAAGGGAATTCTAGGCCAATTCAGGTTGATTCAGTTGATAAGGTCTCTGTATTTTGTGTGAATTCGAGTTTCGTTGCTAGCAATTCCGTATTGGTGGGTAATCTGTAAATCCAAAAAAAAGTTTGGAATTTGCCCTAGTCCTAGGTGTGGGGGTAGCCTCTCTCTCCTCTAAACTTTTGCTCATAAGGGAACCCTAGAACTTTCGATTTTCTTTTTCTTTTTCTCCCCTAAATTAGTGGGGCTGCCCGCAGCCAACATTAATAGAGGAATTAATTTTTGTCAAAATTTTTGGTTTTAAACAATAATGAGTATTATGGGGTTTAAATAGAAAATAATAATAATAATAATAATTTCCCCTCCCTTTCTTTTGGTTTGGTAAGATTTGGGTTAGTTATACCAAGCCCAATATAAGTAGCGTCACAACTTTCCTATGGCCTGGCCAGGAATTGCATGAGGACTCTATGAATGCGATGGGCCCCAACAAGAGTTTTGCTTTCGGTAGATTTCCGGGCCTGTATTTATCAGCACGTGTGTTGTTACCTGAATTATGGGAAGGGAATTTACACTCATACCACATAAATTATACGCATTGTTGTAATTTTCCACTTGAAAAAAAAGGTGGAATTAATTTTCTACCTTAATTAAAATTTCTTGAGATTTTAAGGACAAATCCTTTCATGCTATTTTAATTGGGATGTTGTTTGTAATTAGCTTGGGTCTCTTGTGAAAAAAAAAACTTAAAAACTAAAAAAAATATGTCAGTATGTGACATATGGTTAGTTCTATCGATTTTACCGTCCAAAAAGTGATGTGTGCATCACATGTGACTCTTGAAACATAGTGTGCAACGATATCTCGAACATAAAAAATACTCTTCAAGAAGGGACGTGTGGTGTGATACACACAATTTTGAAGATGAAAAAATAGATTGAGCTATGTTATGAATGACACATTGCAATAAAGTTTTTGATGAAGTGGCAAATGCACTGATGGATCTAGCCATGTTTTGGGTAGGCAGCTGCCTACCCGAAAATTGTCTGAAAATAAAAATAGGTAGATATGAAGCAATAAGACCAAGGAAAAGAGAAAGGGAAGAAGAGAGAGAGAGAGAGAGAGAGAGAGAGAGAATCAACAAGCCAAGGAAAAAGAGAAAAAAAAAGGGGGGGAGAGAGAGAAAGATAAGGAAGGAGCAAAAGTGGCAAGGAGTCACGTGATTAGATATGGATGATATTGGACTCTATAATTATTTTATATTGGGTAAAATTGTTTGGACACCCAACTTTTTTGTAAACCCTAGCCCAATTTCTTATACACTAGAGCTTATATTTTTTTTTAGCAATAGATGCTAATTGTTTTTGCATGTATTAATTATTATATATATATTTATCAAAATGCATTTGGTTCAATTTTTTTTCTTATTTGATGGATGATTATAACATGATGGATGCAATATTAATTTTGTTATTTATATTATTTTAATCATCGTATCAGTGCTATACACGTATCCTAGTTTCTGAAAATTTCTCATATCGGCGTACTCGTACCCATATCCATGCAACGTGTAAGTTCCGCTTACTCGAGTCGTCCATTGGGCAAATGAGTTCAAATTTGGTTTTTATTTTTGTTTTTCAACTGTAACAACGCCTATAATCACAGTGGTGTTAGTGTAATTTGGTTGATTATTCCCACGAAGGAAGGAAGGAAGAAACGAAGTTATCGTGAAGCATCGGTCTAAAAGCGTAAAGCGCGGGGCTGGGTTCGTTCTCTCTACTTTCATTTTCAAACCAAAACAAAATACCTCAGATTCGCGAACTAAAAAAGTACACATAAACAAAGCATTACTCGTTATCAAACCAAACCAAACCAAACCAAACCAAAGCAAATCCCCCCAAACTTCACTGTCTGCCTCTGGAATCGTGCTATGGAAGCCCATTCTTCTCTCACCCTCTCTTCTCTTAAAACCCACAAAAACGCTACCTTTTCTCCTTTTCTCTTCTTCATACAAACCACATTTCCCCTCTTTCTCTTTGTTCTACCAGAGACTAGGGTTTAAACATGTCTTCTGCTTCTCACTCCCAAACCCACCTTGGCCATGGCCTTCACCATAATTTTCTACTGCACTCATCTGAGACTTGCCTTGTTCAAAAAAGGTACCTTCTTTAGCTTTCTCTTTTAATCTCTTTCTGTTTATTGAGTTGAATGTTTGCTATAAAAGCCCATTTCCCCTGTTTTTTTTGTGTGGTTATTTTGTTAGGCCTTCCAAGGTGATTGAGAAAATGCATGGTTTGTTGATAGTGGGCTGTTATGTTTTTGTCAATTTATAAATTTAGTGATCAGATTTCATTAGACATACATTGTAGGGTTCTTTGATACAGGCAGAAGAATAGTCTTTTAAAGTTTTTTTTTTCTTCTTATGTTCAAATTTCACTTCTCATTTTTCTAGCTTCATAAGACAATGCTGATTTTCACTTTCCCCTCTACGCTGGTATTCAGTTTAGTTCAGCTCATTTTGTTCCCTCGAAATTGTGAGTTTTTAGGAATTTAAGAGAAAAAGATCACGTGGGATCATGTGGGCTTCTTTTAATTGCATCAACCTCCTTTAGGCTACAGCCTTTTCCCTTAAGAATTCAACACAATCCTAAAATTAGGTGAGAAACTTTGACCATTGAGGTAATTAGTTCAGAGGAAGAGAGACAAATGCGTCTCCAAAGTCATAACTCTCCCATGTGTTATAGTATTCTAGATGGGGAAGATATCACGAGGACGAGGAGAGAGAGAGGGAGAGCGAGAGGAGGGAGATTGTGAGGTGATGCACACAGGTGGGGTGTTCCTTTGTATTCTAAGAAAGAAGTAACATGAACAGTTAGCAAGAAAATTTTACAGATATTTGTTGCAACCACTTTGGTAATCTTTTGCAAATGTATGTACGACGATTATCAAATTAATCTGTGGTTTTGGTTCAGTTCTAAAAGTTTGAGGACAAGGGCTAGTAGATGTCAATGTAGTTTTTGTCTGTGTTAATATTGGATTTCAAATTCTGAAAATTGTCAAGGTGAGCTTAGAGGCACATTTAGCCATCTCAATATTGAGACCTGTAGACATATATCTGTATAAAAGACTATTCATATGTACCTTGTTGATATGAAAGCCCATGCATTTGTATCTTATTGTTGGAGTGGGCTTAAGGGTACAAAGGCACATGCATCTGTACCTTATTGATGCAATATGCCATGATCAAGGGGAAAATAGTACAAGAAAGAGAGAAATGATTCGAGCCATAACATAACAGTTGGGAAACACGAGCTTAGCCAAGTTGGCTAGAGCGGATGTGCTCCCAACTCTGCACTGCAACCGAGTTCAAATCCCCCTCGGCGTAGTTTAGATTATATTAAAGTAGAATATCACTTGTATAAAATTTTCTGTCAGATTTATTGGTGCCTTCTTTCCTTGTATTTCCTAAGCGGCTGGTTATTTGGGCCTAATAGAATGGGGTCAATGTTTTGAACTAGTTTGGTTCTGTTTTTGTAGTTTGTTTTTGGTTTATTCTTGGGCCAAAGCAATAATCTCCATTGGTGTGCCATTACTTGAACTGTACTCGTGAGATACCCCAAAACCTATTGCTTGATGTGCAATGCATTCTCACTGTGGTTTGCTGACAAACAAACAACAATCAAATTTTTAGATCGTGTGTTGCTGGTTCTTTGGAGTTTTGTTTCACTTACACTTGTTGTATTTGATCAGTTGTAGGTTCAGAGACAGAGATGGTTGCTCCAAGAAATGTGCTCCCTTCCAACATTGTACATGAAAGATTTTCCTTCTTTTAAGGTACTGTTGGGTTTATGTATTTGAAATACATAAAGAGAGTTTGGAAGTGAGGAATGAAGCCAGTTGGTCCGTGTAGCAATTATACTGTGCAATGGAAATACTCTGTTTTACGTACTGTGAATTATTTTACAAAAGAACCTAGAACCCTGTCTAGAACTTAGAACCTAGAACGCCTGCACTCCCTTGGACGACCCCCAGGAAATCGCTTCAGATCAGAGCAATAGTTGTAAATCATGAAGTACTTTTGAACCCACCTCAGTCTTCTACGACTATTTGCATCCAACCCTTGAGTCTGCCAAGCATTACTCTTATTATTTGCACATGAAGATGAGCCCTTTGACCAAACACAAGCATTGGCTTTGAAGTTTCTGTAGAATGCTGTGAAAGGAGCTTTGGACCAGTCTGTTTTCACTAAGCCACCTTTTGTAGCCCATTGGTCTGCGTTCCACAGGCTTGAGTATAGCTTCATGGGTTGTCTTTTGGGAAATGGAACCCCATACGATTCTCCATTGTCGAACACTCTTATGGGGATATTGTCCACTAAGAATCTGCATGCATTGAAAATGCCAAAAAGGGTAGTAATTAACATGTCATTATAAAATCAAGAAACTGCAAGAGATGTGATGGACAATGTGATAGCATTGCCAGTACAAGAACAAGAATCTGATAGAGATGTGATCAACAAATTTGACAGTAATTAGCATGTTATTAGATAAAGGTGGAATTGACAGAGATGTGATCAACAATGTGATTCTCTATATTTAGTAATGATTTGCAACTGTCTTACATTATACGCTGAGGATTCCAAAGAAAAGAGTAGGTGTGAAAATCTTTTGTTGGGTCGAACCAGAGGTAGAATTGTTGCTCTCTGTCCGCTTTCCCTTGAGTGTACACATTTGTGTGTACAATATAAGGGTCCCCACTCAAGTTCCCCAAGAACTCAAAATCAATCTCATCGCGGTTTGGCCCTTCTGAAGACAACTGCAAAGGGTCCCAAAAATGAAAACACAATCCCAAGTTCCATAATCACTCATTAATAAGTTGTTTTACTGCTTTATTAAACACTAATTGAAAAGGGTAATCTTTGTTTTGGCTAATAAACAAACTCACATAGTAAGCGGTGACGGTTCCTGCAGAGTTTCCAGCAACAAGCTTGAGCTGCATGTCGAATCTACCAAAGAGGTATTGTCTCTTGGATTGGAAGCCAGAGCCTGAGGCCTGGTCCAGTGAAAGAGTCAGAAGGCTGCCTCCACGGAGTATTTTTGCACGATGGTCACCCCATATTAGATCAAAATCTTGGTAGAAGTTGCCAGCTGAAGAAGCAGCCATAAAAGAACAGAGAAAGAGAGAGATCAAGATCCAGTTTGGCGCCATGTGTTGATAAGTTTGTGTGTTTTTTCGAGAATCTGAGTGGAGAGAGCAGCTTAGATATATAAATAGTGTGTGGATGAATGTCTTTTTCTGGCTATATATCTGGGCTAATGGGGTCCGAGGAATAATATTTGATAGATGAATTTGATGTATATATCTGTTTCTGTTTGTGTATACATTATATATATAGTATATATTAGAGAGATGTCGATTAGAGAGATTGTGTATGGGACACGTGTGGTTTTAGAACACAAAAGAAGTCACCCAAGCAGTACAGAAGAGAATGAGCTGGCTCTAGCTAATTTAGCAATCTTCTCAAAGTTGCGACCGGCCATGTGTTGGCATTATGCAATGGTATAAAAAGGATATGGCTTTGCTTCAAATTTATGGTTGTGTAGACAAATTAATAACCTTTTTTTTCTTCCCAATTGGTACTGGGTTCGGGTGGAATTCTCATCCGTGAGAGCTGTTAAATGTCAGTTAGTCGTTGATGCAAATGAGTTTCATTGTCGCTAACACGGCTCTTAACTAAAGTATAGGTTGATGGGTCTTATTTTTCTCCACTAATTAATCCGTTATTAGAGCGATCACCTTGAAGCTTTTAAGCAAAGCATGCATTTTGGTGGCAATTTTAATTTATATAATTGCATGATTTGGCTGTGTTTTCTTAGAAAGGAAATTCCATACTCCTTCTAGAGAGCTTTTTTCATTTTGGTCAAATATTCCTTAGAGCTTCGGAAAAAGGGGAGGATAGGAGGATCACTTCAGATTTAAGCTAAGCAACCCCAAAATCGAGAATGCACGTGAGTTGCATAACTTGCATTGTTTCAATACAAAGTATCTTTTTAAAGTTAGGACTCGTTTGAGATTGCTTTTTTAGGAAGTAGTTATGTTTATAAGCGCTTTTATTATAAAATTTTGAGTGCTTTTTGGAAAATCATTTGAGGGTGCTTCTTCAAAAAGCGCTTATATGATTTAAAAGTGTTTTTTGAACTTTTATGCTAAATGATGCAAGAATCGCTTTTAATTGTCGGAAAACACTTTTAACCATTCCAGAAACACTCCCAAATAGGCCTTAAGTCATTGGACTTGGAGTCAAAGGATAGGCTGGGCAATATAATCGCAGGGCCAAACCACATATACATGCTCGCTTATGGGCTTTTAGGTTTCTGGCTAAGCTGCTGTCTTGTGACTTATCTGTGGGGCTGCTGTCTTGTAAATTCCATGTTTCGCCTTTTCTTAATCAATGAAGTTTTGAACGCCCAAGTTATATGATCCAACCTTGTTTTCTTTTTCTTTTGAACTTTTTAAAATTAATTTTTTCTCTTATTAAGATTAGCTAGAAACCCTCACACATTCTTCATAGACAATCACACAAATTAGGAGGAGAAAGAGACATAAAGAGAGTGGTGAGAAAATTGCAGAGAGATTTTTATTTTATTTTATTAATTTAAGTTATAATTAGTGGTTAATTAATTCATGGTTTCCAATCAGGAGTCTAGATGTTCTGATAAAAATAAAGAAAGGAAATTAATAAAAAAACATGAGTCTCTCTCAACTCAACATGTGCCAAAATAACTAAGGCATATTTTAATTGGCAAATATATATATAACTTTCAGTTATCTTTTGTTTTTCTTGTGGGGTTTGAAATGGCTACAATAATACTGTAGCCTAATCCTTTCTCCGAGTGCTGCTAAGCTATTTTCTTTTCAGAAAGTGAGGTTTGACTGTTGCGCTTCAAAGTTTTGGTTACTGTAAGGACTTGACCTAAATAAATATCAAGGCCAAATAAAGTTGAGGCACGTCCACCACTTATTTCTCATCGTCTAATATGCCATTTTCATGCCTCTAAACATTGAATTGATCATATTTCTAAGGCTTGCTGCCAAGTTTTACTATTACTAAGTTGAAGGGCCTAAATCATGCCACTTGTAAACAAAGATTAATAAAATTAACTTCTTCGCCTTTTGTCAATGCGTTATTAAACTACTCTAACGTAACAGGAAGGGTATCGAATCACGTGCAAAAGACAGATACACTGTTTTCGCCAATGAGTAAAATATTACGAAAAGTGATCAATATAAAATTTAGAGATGCATTATCTCATCATGAAGCTTGTCAAGTTGGAATATAATTCTTATTCAAATGTATTATCTCATTTAATCTTCCATATTAATCCAACAATATCTTTTATTTGGTCTGAATCTGAATCTATTAACCCAACGGTTTATACTATGATCTCACACTCCCACCACCATTTGATCGTTCAAGTCCAAGATTTTCATATATATATGATCTCTGTGATCAAGATTTTTGTTTTTATTTTTGTGTTTTCTGCCAATGACATTTCAAATCCTCGACATGATTTTGACGAATTCATGTGGAGGATTTGAAACATGCGGAGGATTTGAAACATGTGCGCATATAGTAAGAATTCGTATACTAAGTCAAAAATGCTTTGAATGAGGTTAGTGTAGAATTGCATCAGCTTTACTTTAGTCAATTCAAATAATTAAACTTGATACAGTACATGCATATGCCCTTACACCTTTTAGATTTGTGCTAGCGAAAAAGGATCTTGATTTGCAGATCAGAGATTTCGGGTTCGAATTCCCACGGCATCATAGTTGTATGTGAGAGAAATCCTCATCCCTTTTAGTTTAGACTATCACTTGTACTAAAAAAAACAAAGACAAAAAGATTTGTCCGCCAGCAAATATTCTATGTACCCCTTGAGGCTATCCAAAAGGAACAGGCTTATAAAAACGGATGTCGCCCACAATATAGTAGTGCCCTGACCTTGAATTAATGTAATGAGATTAATATGAATTCAATGGGCCTCCCTAGACGGTCGCCTTGCCTGTTTATTACCTCCTCTACTCTAACCTTGTAGAAGACTTAAATCTTTTGTCGTATAATACGTCAAAACCAACAGAAATTTTTCATCATGCGTACGAATTTTGAACAAGTCCTGCCACAGTTAATCAATTAGTGGGTTATTAGTTAATTAGCTTGCCGGTGAAGATATATCAGATCATCATTACCACAATTAATATGGTTTGTGGATCGATTATAGTTGTTAACTATCATTACATTAGCTAGTTAATCAACACAAATTAGTCAAAGCACGTGTAGATTTCACCTAAAAAATAGATTCCATTACGCACCCCTTCGATCAGTTCAACTAATTAAGAGATTTACCCCACTTCTAATTGGATTTTCTTTGTTTACTTTATGTAATAACTTTGATCACGGTTCTATATCACTGTTGGTTATGACTAATGCCTTGACTAACAACCATTATAATTACTTTCCAGGAATTAATGAAACATGTATGTCACTCAACCATCATCCTTTTTAGTATCTTTGTGAATTTCGAGCAGATCATTTTGATATTCACAGATCAACCTACGTAGCCTCAAGGTTGATAAATTCAAAGATCTAACTCATTTATTTTATTGGCATAAAACACAATTACGAATATCTAATTATTAATCCTAGTCGCGATCATTAAGCGATATATATACAATCAACGACGGTAATTTAAGAACATGTTGTGTACATTTTCTTTTTCTTTTTCAAAAACCAGGATCGATATATTTAATGCTATCTCTATTTGTTCAGCGGCTAGAATTTTGATGACTAATCAATCACAATATATATTTCTTCTAGATAAATATATGGTATGTACATGTATGTATGTATGC